AAAGAGTCACAATGGGGAAGATATAGGAAAAGGCCTGTCACCTTTCCAATATTTATGGAGTCCTGTAGTATAGTGGTTAGCACACTCGCCTTGCAAGCAAGAGGACCCGGGTTTGATTCCCGGACGGGGCTAAACCTTAGGCAAGTTTCCTTAGTCCACACTCCTCTGTTTACCTAGCGTACGTAGGAACGCGGTTGTTAGTCGATTGCTGGATCGCTTTCGATCCTTAAAATCGCTCCAAAAAAAAATCTTGTGACCATACGAATATGTTAATGAGTCTGGCTTGTCTGTATCCTTAAGATATTAAATATTTCAACAGATCAGTTGAGTCAATTCAATTGAGTCTTAATTTTTTTATGCCATTCATCTAAATGATCAAATATTAGTGAAGGGTGTAAAAGAAACACCGTTAAGGGAAATCTAGAAGGAAATGTGCTTAACTAGATCCCCAAATCCCAAGATCGGTTTGGATGAAGAAAGTCCTTTGGTCCAACTGATCTCATCCCTCTAGAATACCCACCCTTCCATCCTCCCATCACAGCATCAAGCTGCTTGCGAGCTGTAATAGAAAGGGCTGCTCAGTAACAAATGAAGTGAAAAAAGCGACCAAGAAAAAGCGATTGGAGCTAGTGACTGCACTGAACACTATCTAGGGAACACTGACAGCTAAAGCATTAGGGAAATATTTAGGAATTTGAGGGATCTTTTGAAAAAATAGAAAGAGATTGAAATGAAGTGAGTTAGCGCTGAATTATCGAAGGGTTCTGTACCGCCAGCTTTCATATTTTAATGAACAGTTAGAGAATCCACAATTTTTAAAAGCATTTATTTTAATAAGGCTGCAAGAATATGGATAAAAAAAGACTTCTTGCAATATTTAAAATGCAACGACTGGACCAGTGCCAGTGCATAGTGAGGCTTGTCTTGGCAGCTCCACTTGCACTCTGTCTCTCGCTCTCGCTGCCTCTCTTCTCTGTGAAATTCCATGTGGCTGCAGTAATTTACTCTCATTTCCTTTGGCATGTGACTTCAATCATGCCCTTTCCCTACTGTCCTTGCGATGTGCCAAAAATGAATCATCCATCTCACAATCAAGCCAGCGATGCAAAGGCAGACACCATCTCCGTTGCTGCTGTTGTAATGCATCTTTTGACACCTGCTATTTGCTTGCGTTGCTTCTAATAATACTTCTGTTCTGCTCAAAGGTAACTTTAAAAAAGGTTATTGGTTTAGATCTGAAAAAATATTAAAGTTGTCCACACTCCCAAGATAAGATTTCAAGCAGATTGGTTTTGTCCTTCTCATTTTAGATAATGTTTTGACCGTAAAGGAAAAAAATGCTGGTAAATATATATAAGAAATAGTAATAATAATAATACTACTTGCCTTTGATGTAATGCCTTTCTTGTCAGGAGAACATCTCAAAACTTTTCACAGGATTTACTGTAAAGTGTAGGAACGTTATTTTTATAGATGAATGCAAAATAAATTAAGATCAAAAGCTTATCATTGAAAGATTTTTTGGGGCTCTTTAAAATTCACACATGGCATTATCTAACTACTTCTTCCTGACTTCTCTCTGCTACGTGTCTTAACGTTGGTGATATCCTACAGACTTTGGTTTGACCCTACATACTTAATAATAATAATAATAATAGTAGTAATAATTATCCACACATTTGCAATACTGATTTTCATGTAAGATAATGGGACAGCTTTTAAAATTTCCAAGCAAGGTAACTTTGTAATAATGTGTTATAGCAAGATTTGGGAAAGCATAAAGAAGTATTGGCTAGTTGAATCTGAAGTGGAAATCATTCCAGGACAATTGTGCCAAAATAAACGATTATGTTGAACGAGGAATAGATCTGAGCATCTAAATTGGAACAAAGAAGACATGTCTGGATCTTTCTTCAAATCAGTGGAATAGCCTGAGTAAGAGTATGACACTTTGCCATATGATAAAGAAATGACCTATAGCTCCTATGCAACTTCTCACGCTGAATGCCTGTTTCTCAGCCCCAGGTGTTGCAACATGAGCTCAAAGATTAAATATGTTTCCAGAGACAATAGAAAAAACTTATTTCAACATGTCTAGGGCTGTGCCCTTATTTAAATGCCTCAGGCCTGTTCTTTTAATGAATTTAAAAAACTTTGTTGACAACTTGGCATTTAAGTTGCTCACTCCCTCTCTTAATCCGTACAAGAACAATTATTCCAGAATGTTTGCCTGAATCTGTAGTGTTCCCGACCAATTGATTCCCCTCATCTCACCTCCTGCAATCAAAACATTTGGCAATTGCAGTAATCTAAATGTTTGGTCAAAAAGAACCTGCATTTTTACAACGCTGTGACATTTCAAAGTACTTTAAGGTGATTAACTGTCAAGTGTATTGACTGTTTTTATAGGCAGGTGTAAGCCATCATTTTGGATGAGGCATGGCCCCACGAACTGCCAAAAGATGGGTAACCAACTAATCTAGAATGTTACTAGCCAGAACACTTCTTTGGGCTCATGTTGCAACACTTGAAGCTGAGAAACAGGCATTTTTTTGAATGGTGTCACTGGATTGTTGATAATCATCTGAAACTAGACATGTCCTCAGTTTAGCATCTCATTCGAAAGATGACATCTCCAATCATGCATTATCTAATTCAGCCGAGAATTTGGGTCAAAGCATGTGGGGTTGGAACCCACAATCTTTCTGCCCCAGAGGTGAGAGTGCTACCAGCGGAGCCAAGCTGACACCACAATGGGAATTACTGAATTCAGCCTTAACCTTGAATCCAATTTCCTGTAGTTTTTTAAAAGAATTTCTAGAAAAGCAGCGTCGAAATTAAGAATTTGCCAAATTTTGCACACTGTAAAATGCTGAAAAAAACTAGAGTTTTGGATACCCAGGTGGAATTTCTACATTTTTGTTGTCTGGAGGCAAACTTGCCAGCTAATTTGCACTAGCCATGTCTTACAAATGATGATGAGATAATACTCAAATAAACTGTAGACAAAAGGAAGTTTACAGTTTACAATAGGACTGAGAGAGAATATTGAAGACAAGAATGTGTAAGGAGGAAGAGTTCAGTACAAGCAAGGTTGATATGTTAACTTTTAATTATTTTGGAAAATATTGTACTCTCAGTAGCAATTTATTTCTCATACAATATTGACTTGGTGAGATATCTACAAACGTGTTCAAATTCTTTCAAGGCTGCTTTTGCCCAAACTTGGGCCAATTCCAAATTATGTCAATGTATGCTTGATGTCACCCTCACTGAAGGAATAATTATTTTCCGAAGAATTTGTGCAATTAAGAAGGCTCTTTGACAAGTGAGTACTCCACTTTTTCCAACAATTAAAGGCAGCCTTAAGGATTGAATCTGAATATTTGCAGATATGTTATTTCAGGGTAAGTTGCAATGTTAACTTGAGTCCAGGACTAAATTAATTTATGTACAGGGCACAACCCTGATCTCACACTGTTTAAACTGTACGAGAAAATGGCGCAGAAATTTATCTCAATGATGTAAAGTGGAATGTAAGGTTTCTTTGATCACTCTATCTCCACGTAACCCCTTTGGTTATTAACAAAAAAATTGAATTTTCCTGGTGCTTTATTATTCTACAACAATCTTCACTTTTTGAATTATTCTGTTCATTTCAGTCCGCACTGAAACCATATCTGCAGCTATAGGGACCACTTTGACATTGGCTCCCAATGATGTCTTCTGGGCTTCCCAGAAGAATACACATGTGTTTATACAGAGGGGTACAAGGTTCCTGAGATGAAACTTGTGGCCATGTTTTCCCTCTGCTTTGGTCCCCGCACACACCTTACGAAGTCAGAGAGCTTTAATCTGAAGACCCGAGGAACTGAGGGGAATTTTCTGGGACAACAGTTATGGATGTTTTTTGGGGGGCAGGTTGGGAGTCCTGGGTGTCCAGGTGAATTGGGTTAAGCGTCCTAGAGGTTGGAGATCCTGTTCAATATCTGAGGGCTGAGTGTCTGCGGGTGAGTGTCTGTAGTGACGGGGGGGCGGGCGGGCGGGGGGGTCAATGTATTACAAGCAGATTGTTGTTGTTGTTGGGATGAGTGAGTATCTGGGTGGGGGTGATGGGTATCGGGGGGTGGGGGGTGGGTGAGGGTCTGATTGAGTGGTCTCTGGGGGGCGGACGTGTATGAGTGTCTGGGGTATGTATCAGTGTCTGGTTAGGTGGGGGGGGGTGATTGTCTGGATGTCTGGAGGTGTGGGTGGGGGGTGTTTGTCTAGAGGGGTGTGTGTGTGGGGGGGGGCGGAATTGTCTGCTGGCCAGGGCTGGGTGGCTGTTGCCCTGGGGGGGTGGGGGGGGGGTGTTGGGGGTATGTGTGGGGTGGGGGGGTTGTTGGGGATATATATGGGTTGGGGGGGTGTTGCGGGTATGTTCTGGGGTGGGGTGGGGGGGAGGGAGGGGGGGAATTGTCTGCTGGCCAGGGCTGGGTGGCTGATGCCCTGGGGGTGGGGGGTTGGGGGGTATGTCTGGGGTGGGGGGGGTGTTGGGGGTATGTGTGGGTTGGGGGGGTTGTTGGGGGTATGTATGGGGTGGGTGGGGGTGTTGGGGTATGTGTGGGGAGGTGTGGAGGGAGGGGTGGGGTGTTGGCCAGGGTTTGGGGTGTTGGCCAGGGTTTGGTGGGGGGAGGGGGAGGGTTGGCCAGGGTTTGGGGGTGTTGGCCAGGGTTTGGTGGGGGGGGGGGGGGGGGGGGGGGGGTGTTGGCCAGGGTTTGGTGGGGGGGGGGTGTTGGCCAGGGTTTGGTGGGGGGGGGGGGGGTGTTGGCCAGGGTTTGGTGGGGGGGGGGGGTGTTGGCCAGGGTTTGGTGGGGGGGGGGGGGGGGGGTGTTGGCCAGGGTTTGGTGGGGGGGGGGGGTGTTGGCCAGGGTTTGGTGGGGGGGGGGGGGGGGGGGTGTTGGCCAGGGTTTGGTGGGGGGGGGGGGTGGCCAGGGTTTGGTGGGGGGGGGGGGGGGGGGTTGGTGGCTGTTGCCCTGGAGGTCAGTGGCCGCTGCTGGAGGCAGAGCCGGAGCGGGTGAAGTCGGGTGCGGACACAGCAAATGGAGACGCCGGGGGCAGCGGGCAGTCCGCACCTGCCGCTCTGGGTGGACGAGAAGGAGCCGAGGAGCGGCATCGAGTCGCTCTTACAGCAACTGCGGCCCCTCTGGAAAGCTTCCGAGATCAGGATAAAGGCAAGTCATCACAGAGTGGCCAGAGAGAGCAGTAGCCCTGCCCTCCTTGCCCTGCCCTGCCCTGCCCTGCCCTCCTTGCCCTGCCCTGCCCTGCCCTCCCTGCCCTCCTTGCCCTGCCCTGCCCTGCACTGCCTGCCTGCCCTGCCCTCCTTGCCCTGCCCTGCCCTGCCCTCCCTGCCCTCCCTGCCCTGCCCTGCCCTGCCTGCCTCCTGCCCTTCCCTGCCCTGCACTGCCCTCCCTGCCTTCCCTTCCCTGCCCTCCCTGCCTGCCTTCCCTTCCCTGCCCTGCACTGCACTGCCTGCCTTCCCTTCCCTGCCCTGCCCTGCCTTCCCTTCCCTGCCCTCCCTGCCCTGCCCTGCCTTCCCTGCCCTTCCCTGCCCGCCCTGCCCTGCCCTGCCTGCCCCAGAGGCTGGGGTGGAGCCAGTCTGTCTAATTGACAACCTAACGGGACAGACAGACAGACAGACAGACAGACAGACAGACAGACAGCTACTTGGGTTTCTTGTGGCTCCTTCATGCCAAACCTAATCAATCTGTGGCTTACACCCCCTCCTCCCCCCTCCCAACACTGGTGTTACTTTGAGGGACAGAGAACACTGCTCCCCCTCCCCCCCCCTCTGCCCTCTGGGCAAACTACCTCTCTTTTTGCCTTCAAAGTGGGGTTGCCAACCCTCCCAAGATTGGCCTGGAGACCGACTGACCTTCCCCCTGACTCCGGGATTCTTTTTTTGGGGGGCAGGGAGTGGGGGTTCAGCCAGGTCCTGACGCACGTGGAAAGCCATCAACACGCTTAAGAGTATCCCAACCAAACTGAGATTTCCACGCATCCCACCCACACATGGAAATTTCAGGGATAGATTGTTGGAATGGAATGCGCACTCTCTCTCTCTCTCTCTCTCTCTCCCTGGAAGGACACGTCCTGTTTACCTAATTCTGTAAAGTATTAGGCGCAGGTTGGCAAGAGCCAAGGCTTGAGGACCTCGGAGTGTGCGTTGGGGTAACTGCTGGAGTCTAACCAGCTAAAAACACATAGTTTGTCATGGAGAGCACTGTCTGGCAAGCGTTCCCGCTGCTTGTCCGGCTAGGACCACACAGGAATTAAAGATTAATCTCCTGGACACGGCTGCGAGCAACCTGGGAGAAAAATCATTGTGAATATTCGGAAACGAATGTTGAATGGTGAACCAGGTTTATCTTGTTATCAGTTTCTCGTTAGTTTCGTACATTCCTGAAGGCTCTAAACGTCCAGCTATAGAATGAAATGCCAAGTTAACACGCACTTGGCCTCTCTAAACCATCTTATTGATGTACTGGTGCTGCGATTTATGACCCTACCGTAAAGTCAGTGCTGTCTCACTTTAAGATAGTAACCTAACGTAACTCTGGCTTGCGTGCAATCACAGTGTTTTGCACTTCAAAAGGAACAGATCCATTTTTTCAAACTATTCGCTCCATAGTAATTGAGTTTCGAGCAGCTCAGTTCACAAGAGCCATTATGAAGCCTCCCGGAATATGCCTTAGCAGAGTTGGCAACCCTACTTTCAATTCTCACATTGATTTCACTAACAAATCGCGTGCAAGGTATGAAAGAGTTGGAAGGGTAGGAGTGAACCCTATTGAGGAGATTGAGCTAGAAGAGAAGGGGATGCCACCTCGCGTGAAGGGTGAAGGCTGTTGTTGTTGACAAGGGGGAAAATCAGCTGAGGTTTGCGTTCCTGCTAGTTAACAAGTGGGTGTGGATGGTGGTTGACAACAGGAAGCATCTTTCTTGGTTCTGAAGCTTTCCCTTGTGCATATCTGGGAAGACTGCTGTGAGGGCAGGAAGCCAAAGAGAGCTTTCACATCGTGGAGCCCAGATCGTTGCGAGTGTGAATTGTTGCGAGGGTTGTCTGTCTCAATGGCCACTGCAGGCGAGAGCTGGGAGCTACGGCTAAGTGTGCAGATCGGTACAGTACTGAATGGTCTGCAATGCAGAGGATGCATGAGGCAGAATTGGCAATTTTGCCGAGGGACAGAGATGAAAAATATCCCACAGGGGAAAAAGTGCTGCATATGATATTCCTGAAAACGGTGCACACACAGGGTAGAAAACATTCAAGTAACAAAGACACGGGTGCTTTGAAGGATGAGTTATGGAATGAGACTCCACTGACACAATATTTCTGATCAGATAGTGAAGATCTAAGACCAGAATTCCCACGCATTTTTAATATTAGAAATACAAAATTCTTATAGATTATTTTAATAAAGATTCTAAAATCTTTTGCTCAGTGGACTCTGGCCTGCTCCATGTCCCCATTACTGCCCGTCCCAACATTAGTGGTCAAGGCTTCAGCCTTTCTGCCTCCACCCTTTGGAACTCCATCCTTCAGTCCCTTTGCCTCGCTCTCTCCCTTGCTTCCTTCAAGATCCAGCTCAAGACCCTACTCTTTGAGTGCGCCTTTGATCACCCTCCTAACCCTTACCCTCCCTTACCGACCACACCTCCTGATCCCAACCACTATCTCGGGTGCAAATTCTTGACTGTCCAGTGGCTTGGGATGTCATCCCTACGTGAAAGGTGCTATACAAAATTAATTTGTTGTTGAAAGCCTTGTTTGCTCTTGGATTCTTTTTAACGCTGCCAGGTTAGTTCATATTGTTTTGTTTCCCAAATCTCTGTGTGTACTAGGCAAAATAATCTTTCTCCCGCCTAGAATTTTAGGTACATCATGAAATATCCCACTACAGTCTTTTGTCAACACCACAATGTGCTGGTAGATCTCATTTTGAAGGGAAATGACTCCCCCAGTCTGAACTCCCTGTAAACTCCTCTGGAAAATACATTAAAATGGTTTTAAGGGGTTTACAGATCTGACATTTGTATATACTGTATTTTTGGTGGAATTGGAACAATACACAAAAGATTACCTTTTCATCTGGAGGGTTGATTTTGTTTGCATAAGGGAGCGAGCAAGAAAGAGAGGAAATAGAAGCAAGCACTCAAAGGTGGAGGCAGCAGATGGAATTGAAAACTGAGTGAGAAATAGAGCAAAAAGAAAACAAATTGGTACTTTATTCTGTGCTTTTAATTCAACTTTATGCAACTATCTTTCAATTCTACCTTAAGACCTACCTTAAGACCTACCTCTTCAATCATGCTTATGGTCACCTATCCTTCTTCCTCTCCCTTGTTCTGCATCCAATCCCACCATTGTACAGAGCTGTGCAACACTATTCTCCGTGAAGGGCACTATATAAACACAATATGCTGTTAATGTTGTTACAGCTCTTTTAATCTGGAACACTCTTTGCTTAGTTGTAGATTTTCTAAAGGTGATATATCTCAGGGGCTGCGTTTTTCATACCAAATTACAATTTCTGTGTTGGCAACAATTTGAGCACTTTGCTCCTTGCTAACCATTACTTTCAAACACCTAGATAGAGAGAGACCATTCCTTCAATCAACGAGTCTCTAAGAAGAGGCCACGATTTGAGGATTGTCACCGAGGGGGAACAAAATGAGGAATTAGGAAGATTTCTTTACACACAGAATGGGATCTTGCAGGATCACAAGAGAGGCATGGTTGAAGAATGCTCTTTGGCCCATTTGATCTCTTCCTTACACAGCAGCCACACTAGCTTCTTCCAATTACAACATCAAATAACAACAACTTGCATTTATATAGCGTCCTTCACTCAGGATAGCACCTTGGAGCACTGAGATACATCAAGCTGTATGTTAAATCACTCCAACGGCTCAGGCTAACCTCTGTTCCAGCCACGACCCATTAATTACCCTTTTCTAAGAAATATTTCCTGTTGTCTGTCCTGAAATTGCCCTTCACAACTCTGAACCTGTGCCCAGCTGTCCTGCTGCCTTGGCATATGGTAGATTTGACAAATGTATCCAAAATGACCATTTTAAAAAACAATGATTGATTTCGCTAATGCAGAGCCTCAGTCTTCCCGGCCACACATCTTGTAGACACATGCGAACCAGAACTTGTGAGGAAGCCAGACTTCAGACAGGACACAATAAGAATGGTGGTAATATAGTTCCTGAAATACCAGATGGCTAGTTCCAGAGATAACCACATCATCTGTGTGTCCCAGTTCCTGGGCGGTAGAGCGCAAACCATGTCCCATATTGTCAGAGACCTAGAGGAATGGAAAAGAGGAAGTCAAAGCAGAAAAATCTCCCACAACAAAATGGGGAGAAGCGGGGAGGAAGGAGGAGAAGAAACAAGGATCTGGCAGCAACTCCCTTAATGACTGCACTGAAATATAACTCCTCAATATTCTGAGACAAAACTATTAATAGTCTACTCAAAACCAGTCAATAGTAATAATAACCCTTGCATTTGATATAGCGCCTTATCACGTCGTTGAGACGTTTCAAAGCACTTCACAGAATATATTGCAGAGTTGATTGATTGTATTTTGTGGACAAAATTTAAAATGAAGAAACAGGTCACTACACTTTGGCAGTAGATACTTGTGAAGTGCTTTGAAGAGGTTTTGATGTGATACAGCACGTTAAAAGTGCAAGTTCTCTCGTTTCTTTATGTCAAGTCACTGTTTGTGGATATCATACATGTAACAGTTCTGACCCTGATCAAAACCCTTGTGTTTAAGCTTTACAGAGAAGGGGAGTACAGAGCGATACAATAATGCACTAAGTTGCAAAACCATGTTTGTTTTTGCAGTATTCTTACACTGTTACAAGTCAAGTTCACAAAAGTGCTTTCCTCTCCTTTTGATAAACCAAGCATTCATTTACATTTTAAAGGGAAATGTTATTGTATTAGGGCGTTTTGGGGCTGGCTCACTTCCTAGGACAAACTCCACTCAAGGGTTTACAGGAGTATGAATAGCTCCTATTCCCAAAGTACCACAATGCCCACAGCTCTATTTATGAAGTGTTTTATAGGGTGAGTTAGCAGGCAGCAACGAGAACTCTCTCTTCATTCTTTCCAATTTTGCTATGATATTTCTGTCTAAATAAAAGATGTAATCAA